CTATTGTTTTGTTTCCTCGGCTTTAATTGACTTGGTTTTCTCTGGCAGATAAGTCGGTTGTGGATGAGGAGGAGAGAATGAGGCACATGCAGGCTGCCACAAAGAGGAGAGCAGCGGCTCAGTAGTAGCACCGCCCTGAGGTCGCGAACCCTCAGCACCCCAAGAGACCAAGGCTGGTTGAGGGAGACGTGGTGGATGTCGGCTCTCACAAGTCTCCACCATAGTCTAGGCCACGAAGAAGTCTTAAGGTCCCATCTCTGGGTCTGGTAGAATCAGCGGTCAAGGTGTACAAGCCAAGCTAGAGTTTTCAGTCGGAGGACACTTTGGAAACTGAGGGCGTGCCCAAGTAGCTAGCTAGGGGCTCTAGTGCCAGACATCCGTAGGGAGACTAACGACTAAATGAGTAGGGTGTTGGAGAGCGTAGCCATCAAGGAGTTTATTGCGATAAGGCTCTTTGCACTGCCTTTTCTGCTCTTCGGTGTGATTTTCCATGCTCATTGGCTTGTGTTTTCCTTTTGTATGCCATCTGTGCGGTGACGACATTGGTTGACTGAGTGCGTGCCCTCTGTCAAATGGTTGAGGCTCGGGAAGGCAAGTTCTCGAATCTACAAACTGAGATGACCAAGCTTAAGCAAGTGGCGGTGTCCAAGGACGAAGAGTTGTAGCATCTAAAGAGTTGTGTTCGTAAGCTCAAGGGGGACCGTGAAAAGGCAAGGAAGGTTGCTAAGGAGGCAGAGGCAAAACTGCTACGCAGCGAGGAGGCGATCGCTAAGTACAAGGAGTGTGAGGAGTTCCAAATTGCCCTCAATGATTTTGCTACAAACTCCTGGCAGACTTTGCTTGCTACCAGAGGAGGGTCATGCGCGAGCACCCTGAAATCATCACGGCCATGGAGTAGTATGGTCCCTTTGATGCCGAGGTGCCACCAGCTAAGCAGTTTACCCCGAACGATAGTGCGACCACCCCCGAGGAGGTGAACCCTGCAGATAGAACGGTTGGCCTGGATTGATGCTCTTTTCTTCTTTTTTATGTACACAGCTCGGTATGTTGAGCTTATAATCATTGTATCAGCTTCTTGAGTAGTGGAACTTTAGTCTTTTTGTCAAGCACGTTCTGTGTTGTTTCTTCTTCTAAGTTGCTCCACTTCGAAATTAGGTTGACCGTTAGGGTCCATAGGTCGTGATTTTATACTTGCACTTAGGCTAAACGGGGTTTTGCACTTAACATTGTGGTTGGGGTCTTTGGCTCTATGGCATCGGTCTCAAGTTGACCGAGGTCTTGGGCTTGACGCTGGATGAACGAGGTCTTTGACTTCATGGCCTTGGTCTCATATTGGTTGAGGTCTTCAGCTTTGCCGCCTTAGTCTTACGCTGATCGAGGTCTTTGGCTCTAATTCTTGTTGATCGAGGTCTTTGGCTTGGTGGCCTCAGTCTTATGTTGGCCAAGGTGCTTCCAAGCTCTCAACTTTGTCGGGGAGCTCAGTGGCACCTCGTCTTGGACAGCTTCACGCACTTTAACTAAGCTAGTCGTGGTCCTCGATCAGCTCTACTCCAACTGCAAGTCAGGAGGGTGCACGGAGTTCAATGAACATCCTCTTTCCATTATGTGGCGAGGACATCATTACCGTGGTGCCTTTCGGAGGCTTGTTCTGGCCTCGACTGTCTGTGGCCTGTCGGGTCTTTCGTGTGATGGTTGTCGGGACTTGGCTGGGTCTTTAACAAGGTTGTTGTCATGCTACGACCGTTGGTCAGTGCGGATTTTGGCCGTTGGAGTTCGTCTAGACTGTGTGTGGGTGTACGGTCATTTGTGCTTGAAGAAAATTCTTTATTTATTGAGTTTGTACAGCCCAATTGCCATTAGTGCTCAGTGATGATCGTCGTCAGTACATCTTAGTCCTAGCACTCCAACTCCTCGAAGTAGGTCTTCCACACCTAGTTTCCCCCTATAAAGGTTGTCCTGCCCAAGATGACAACGATGACCCGATCGAGGGAGCTCAAGCTAGGGGCTCATCGGTGCAGTACAACTCTTATTTGGGTTTATTCTCTTTGATATAGATGAACCCACGGATGTATCCAAATCGAGCGCGGTCTTTCAAGTGGTGGTGAAAGTCGTGGCAGCTTTTGGTGACGTGGCCATGGTCTCGGTAGAAATCGGAATACCTGTCCCGATTCTTCTTGTTGCCTTGGGTTTTCATCTTTTTAGGCCACTTAACAAAGTTGAGGTCACGAAATTACACCAATATTTTGGCCCACGACACATTTAGGGGAGTAAAGTTCTTGTACGTCAGTGGCGGGGTCCTCGGTCTACGGTCAAGTTGGAAGTCCTGTCTCTTGTTGTCTCTATCAGATTTGCACTCATCATGGTCCTTCCACTTTGGATTATGTTGGTCGGCATTCATATGCTTCTTCGCATGCTTCTTGAGCGTAGTCAGATTGGGTGGAGGGTTCTTTTGCAGCGAAAAGCTGAACATTAAGGAGTGCAGCCCACTCATGATGGTTGTCACAACTACCGATTGGTCTAGATCTCAGACATATAGGGCCTCAATGTTGAACCTCGCCAAGTATTCCCTCAAGGTTTCTCTTTTCCTCTGTCGTACTTGTATGAGGATGGCCGACATCTTCCATTGCCTTTGGCTGGTGGTGAACTATGCTAGGAACTATGTCTCCAACTATTCCTAGGAGGATATGGACCACGGTGGAAGGGAGGCATACCAACTTCTGAAAATTCCATGGAGGATGGTGACGAAGGCCTTGCACATGAGACCCTCAGAGGAGCTGTGCAGCATCATTGTTTCCTTGAACCCCTCAATGTGATCGTTGGGGTCTGAGGCTCCATCCTACTTCTCCAATTGAGGGGGCCGCCAGTCGGCTAGGGGAAGCTCATCAACGATGTCCTGGACGAAGACGGGTTCCTTTGCAGGCTAGATCTAGTGCATCTCTGAGGGCCAAGCCGTCGGAGAAGCTGCACTTCTATCCGCTTGGTTGCATCCCAATTCAGCCAAACGCTCTCTTAGTTCTCTGATTTCGATGTCTCTGTCATCTAGGATCACATTTGCGGACTTTTCCCCTTTCGGGATCGCAGGCCAGTCTCTTACCGAACTGGATTCAACTATCGAGATCAGGGGTTGCTGCAAACATTGGTTGAGTTATTCTTTTGTCAGTACCCGAGCAGCGAAGTGATGGGATCTACTGCAAGCATCATGTGCATGAGGCCGAGCTAGAAGGAGTCAAATCTTCTGGATGGTTGTGGCCTGTTCACTGTCGGATTGGGCCATGTGCCTATTTGCATGGTGCCTTTTGGGGTCCTTGGTGCGAGGATCGGCTATAGTAAGTGCCTACATGGCAAGGCGAGTAGCTTGGGGGCGTGTGCTGATTGCCCCAACACCTTCATCATGGCTAGGATACGGTCGACCTTCTACTGCATGGCTTGGAACTATGCGGGGTTGATTGCTGTCTAATACTAGGGCTCCCGAGGCGGGGAACTGCGAAGTGAGCGGGATCCCCAAGATAGAGAACAGACTCCGGAGCAGTTGAATGTGTTCTTAAGCATGGTTGCTTTTAGTGCATAGAAAGAGGTTTGGGAAATGACTTTTTGTACATTTCCCATAGATGACGCCAATATGATATTGTTCAATTTGAAGTGTTCCAAATCGAGGACACAATCAGATAGTCCTGCCAACTAGACGAGGCCTAGGTGGAAGGACGAAACCGCACGCTGAGATCTACAATCAGGAGAAAGGTCAAAGGCCCCAGGTAGGTACTCCAATGCTCAAGTTAGTAGGATAAAGTAGGATGTGGTCGGGACGAACAAGTTGAAATAGTGCTTGTCCGAGCTGAAGAGATAGTGCGAAGAGGTATTCAAAGAGTGCAAAGTTCCAAGAGTTCCTTACCTCAAGCGGGGAATACTTACTTATTGTTGGGCGTCCGTGTCCCAGATGGATAGGGCTTCCAGGGTTGTTGAGATGAGGGCATTCGTCGAGGTCTTCAGGTGGTTCCCTCTTCTCTAGTGGAGTCCGCTTCTTTGTCTATACAGGACACTCCTTCTTAGTCGTGCTCTTCCATTATGCATGACCTGAAAGGGGGTAGCCATAGAAATCGCCACATAGCATCCTTGGCCAATTTCCAGTGTCCTCCGGCCCACCAATTCTGAGTGTGAACCAAATGGACCCTTAATGTCATTAGTTACCACTATTTGGTCATCATTAACCACAAGCAATAATGGAAGGACACGACCCAATTCGGAGTTCCAGTAGTTTCCTATATATGACCAGGAAAGCAGTCCGGTTCCTGTTGAATGAAGTTCAACCGGCCGGTTTGGTCTTGTTTTCAAAATAATATTGTGCTAGTTGGATTAGGGCTGTCAATGAATATAATTTGATCTGGGTCTGGTCTGACTACAACCGGAGCCAACCTGCAACAAGAAATATCAAGGAATCGGAAGCAAACTAGGTTTGTAATTTTAGACCGAGAACCAAATTGATCGGTTCTTGGGACAATCAGTCTAATACAATGGACCCGATTATAATTAACCTACTTAAATATTATGCACTTAAAATACATATATACGGGTTGGGCCGGGTCAAACCTGAATTGTTTCAATGTTGAAAAAAAAAAACAATTTCAAACCGATGATAATCAGGAACCAGAACCGATCCATCGATACCAGGTCCTGAAACTAGAACCAGTTCAGTTTATTTGGATCCGTCAGGTCGGACCCGACCCATATGACAGCCCTAAGCTAAGCTGTATGGGCATATGGCTGAATTTGCTTAAAGGAGAGAGAATGTATTATATTGATGACCTTGACGCATGCACGAATGGATGTTAAGAAATTAAAAAGTCGGAACAGACTTGACACAGTTTGTCTAGGGAAGGTACAGTGATGCATGCTTGGGGGTGTTTTGGTCAGAAAAAGAAGTTGGGTTGGACGGTTGGTGCCCCGTCCAGCACCTCTATATATTAAACCAAACAGTACTTATTCCTTCCATTCCACCGCGCGCCCTCGAGCGACTTACGCACAGTTTTCTCTACTTGTTAATTCCTAGACCTAGAGCTCATATAATGTCAAGCTTGAAACTTTGGCTCTTCGTTGTAGCTCTCTTCTTTTCTGTCTCCTGCTGCATCTCAGGTAGTGATCTCGATGTTAGATTAAACATTTTCTTGCTTTCAGTAGTGTTTAATACTGTTTCGTTGCATTTGTAGAGGTGGATCCGACTGAAATCGTGGACAGAGCATTGGAGTGTTTCAACAAGGATTATGTAAGTTAGATGCTAAATCATGCATTACAATCTGTTTCTTCTTCTTCTTCTTCTTCTTCTTCTTCTTCTTCTAGAGCTATAAGTTATTTACATGGGGACAACTGAATTCTATTTGGTTGGTTGCTGTTGTAACTCGCAACCCATTTAGAGCTACTGCACTTAATTTGCACCATGAGTTAATATAGACTGATCGAGCTTATGTACCCAACCAAACCCCCATGCTGCTTATCTGTTCCAGCTTTACACTAAAGCCATTTGATATGTGATTTAGTTCCCAAGTTTGTTATCCTGGCTAACAATAATCTGGGATCAATAAACTAAAAAGTAATATTAAAAGAATGAAAAAGCGTTCATTTGGTTCATGGGAATAAAGGTCTGGAATGAGAGTTGGAATGACCCATTTTTTATTTTAAATACTGTTGGATTGGATGAAATCGGAATCTCATTCTCATTTCTGTTGGAAAGGCATTTCTCCATTTGAGGGAATGACCATTCTAAATCTCCCCCTCTCCTCTCATTCCAACTTATTCCAATTCAATTCTGATTTTAGATTATTCTAATTCTAATTTTAAAGGATTTTAATTCCAATCCACACTATAAAGTGTAAACCAAATAACCCTAAATCCGACTCCATGTTCTTAGATTCATAGTGTGAATATTCTCATTGGACCGGGGCCAAATCAATATATTTACAGTCTCCAAACAGCAATCGAATTTGACCAAGTCGTGGGCTGCAGCCTGCAGGCAAACCAACCTTGCTTGAAATCAGAGTAATAGAGTGGTAGGCATTGGCCAACCAATTATAGCTATACAGGGTGACTGATAAAACAGTACGTACACCTGTCCCAACCAACGTATAGTGCGTAGTCCGTAGAAATATTCATATAGTTTGCTGAACCACCAGCAGCAGGAAATATTAATTGAGCTAGCATTGGCGCATATTTTAATTTGATGTTTGTGTTTCTAAAATTGGTTTGAAATGAACAAATTAACACAGATATACAGGAGGTGTGACGAGGCTTACAGACTATCAGATAAGGGGCACTTGGATGTCCCAAGAGAAAAAACCGACGCATTCTGCGAGGGTCCCTGCCTGGCCGAAACAAGGCTCGTCCTCCGTTGTATCAATAACATACTAAACCATTTCACTTTCTACAATCGGGCCACAATTCGAGACATTAGACACACACTGAAAGCTGGATGTAGCTACAGTCAGGATAGAGGTGAGCAAAACCAGTCTGATCTTTCACTATGATTTGTGAGATGGATCATGGCTATTTCTTTCATTGTTTTTAAAATCTGACCGGGAAAACCAGGAATTCGTCAGGTAATCGGTTCTGTTTCACTCTAAAACCACTTTTTGACCAAAAACCGTTGATTTAGTGATTATTTGGCAAGTCTTTCTGGGAAGATCTTCCAGTAATTCTGACAGTCAAAAGACGCATTGAGCCTTTAAATTAAGATCTAAACAACCTAAAGCCCATTTGGTTAAGGCCTGTCTTTCCACGTGAAAACGAATAAAAAAAAAATGCAAAAGCTCCATTTGGAGATTCCTGAAAATCGTCCATTTTGGACTTCTTGCATCTTTTTGGCACATTGCCTTTTGACGACTAGATTTACTATGAACCAAACGGAAAAAGACCGAATCACAGTCTGCCCGACTTATAAATAGCTGACAGATCACACGAAAAGACATGCCAAACGAGGCCTTAGTCAGTAATCCACTGATCTGGGTGATTAAACCATTGACCCGAACAAATCATATCAGATTTGACCCAAAAACCGGTTCCCTATCCGGTCCGATTTTCAAAACCTTGAAATTTCAGATTAATTAATTAGTAATTTTCAGAAATTAACATTTATATGTTGGGTCTGGGGCCTACCGCCTATGGGCATGGATGGATTATTTTTGCAGGAAATTTTAAAGTGGAGGACTACATGTACCAAGACAAATCATATAAAGACAACTACCAAGACTACTACTATAAAGACAACGGCGATAATGGGGGGGACAATTCCGACGGCCAGTCCTACTTCAACCATTATTATGATTTCAGCGGTGCCGGTGCACACAAGCCGATCCAACCCGGCTACTCGCGATCGTATTCGTATGTGGCCAATTTGGTGTTAGGGTTTGGGCTTCCTTTCTTCATCTAATGCTGCCTGCCATTTCCACTACGTACCAGACCAGCTGCTGCTCATTATGCAAACATCCATCAATATATGTATACTTAGTTCTCTTGGTGAGAAAGAATTAGAAGGCTACCTTACCTTATAATGTATGTATTCCATAAATAAGTAATAAAAATACATTTAACATATATAGAACCAATGTTTTAAAACCGATTTACAGATTATATCATTTTTGTTTTTGGGTCGTGGGTCACTGGTTTGATTGATTAAGTCGAATGGTTCAAATCGTATCATATTTATACATTAGCAATAAATCATGTATAAATATGTTTTAGATATAATAAACATATTTATGTCTTTTAGTTTGATTTTTAATTTTTTAATTTATAAAAAATATTAAAAAATATAATTTAAGGTCAAAAGAGGGTTTTTTCCGCGAAAATAACAATACAAAACACCTAAGACTCCTTGACATGTAAAGATAGTTATCCAAAATCAAAAAAAAAAAAAAAAACAATCACCCCTCTCTCAAAATTTTCCCATTTTTAAAACTCCTTTGTTTTGTCTTTCTTCCATTCCAAAAACCATTTTTTGCTTGAAATTCCTCTTTATCTCTCCTCCCATTCTCTCTTGCTCAAAAACCTAATCCTCGTGAAAAGGTTTTTGAGTTTTTCGAGAACCATACATAGCTTTTGCCTTTGAGTGTCTATACTCTTTTCTTTTTCTGATATACCTCGATATTATTGTTAATTTATGTTCTATTTAAATAAAACTGAGGTCACATCATCGTGGGAATGCTGCAACATCCAAAATTCCAATCCGATTATCAGAAACTTATCGATTTTAATGGGGTCTCATCGGATTCAAATCGGACTCATCAGACAGACTATCATCTTTTTTTTTGAGAGAGAGAGAGAGAGAGAGAGAGAGAGATGGACTATCATCTAAAACTAGTATGAGTGAAACATCAAAATATATATTGAATGAGATCGGTTTTGATGCAAGAACGGTAACAGAGAAAGAAAACTTCACAGAACCATTCCCATTTAGGGCTGTTAATACAAGCAATAAGCTGTGCATTGTCGCTGAGTCTTATGATTATCTGTTCAAACCAAACCCAATTGGGGCATTTTTCAGAACAACAAATACTGCCTTCCTTTCAATTGTTTTAAGAGCATTGTTTACACAGAGTCAGACTAATGTGTTCATCGTCTTTATGCACTTGATACGGACATTTTCAAAGCTTTCGTAGAGACTGATGATGATATAGAATGTTTCGATCTTGTGTGACAATGATGCTACTAAAGGCAAGCATCTTAAACGCTTGTGATCACACTTGAGATGTTCGAACTTCGAAGAGAGGCGTGATTCATTATGCATCAAGACAGGTGTCTCTCCCTGAATGAAAGGACACTAAGAGGGACAGAGTGGAGAAACAGAGAATCCCAATCCCGTCCCAGTTCCCACCTTTAAATTAACTCCTTTTGGATATCTGTATCGTGTCTCTCCCTGCATCGTGTGTTTTTGTACTTCTCCCTTAAATTAACTCCTTTTGGATATCTGTATCTGTAATTCTGTACCAACCAGAAATTTCGCTGTTTTGGGGATTCACTACACTAGAGTTAAGGAAACGTTAGCAAGGGTTATTGGACCAAAGCAACAAATCCATCTCATTTCAATTTTCAGGGAGGTAAGATAGTCGTATTTTTTCGGTTACTCTGGCCATCAATGTTCAATAATATTATTATTGACTGTACAGCTCTCTGTTTCAACAAGTATTTACACAAACAGTTTGTGTCATCGATTTTGGCTTATTTCTTCTTTAATGGGTTGTGGTAATTCGGGGAGAAGAGATGCATAACTCATCTACCGCACCCACTACCAAGACCAAAGTTGGATCCTTGCTGCCGACTGACGCATCCTTCAAGCGGAAGAGAGGCGTGTTTCAGAAAGACCGTAAGCAATTCCTTTTGATTCTTTTTCCTGTAAATTCTTAATAACATCTCACTTTAAACTTTAATCAGTGACTGATATATCTGTTCGATGATGATGATGAAATGGTGTTACAGTGCAGCACATGATGTATGGGTTTGGAGATGACCCCAATGTGCGTATCTTTCTGCGACAGTTCAGTTCTTTTTCATCGGTTTGGTAACTTAGGTTTTCTTGTGTTATTTATTGAGATTTCATCATGGCCTTCGAATGATTTCATGTCCAAATTCTTTCCATCCTCTTCGTGTTGTTAATGAAAGTACCCAATAGCAATAGGAGGGTCGGCTCACCTGAACTCTTTTGATGTGGCCTTGTCTAGGTTTTCATCTCGTGATGAACAGATGGAAAAGTGGAGCTGTCTGTCTGTCTAAAGATATAAATTTTTCAAGGAATTAAAAGTGCCACTTTTATTAAGAAGGTCTTTTTTATTTAGCTATTGTCTTCGTGCTCTGAAAAACATGGATTTTCATCGAGCAAAATGATTGGATAGGATTCATATCGCCCACCCCAAACAATTGAGTGTTGAGTTGACGTTCAATAGTTGAGCTATTTTCTTCTGCTTGATTGGTCTAGCTCATATGAATCCTGGTTTATTAATCCGCTCTGTTTAGTGTACATGGGGTAGGCTACATGAATCCCATTTAGCCAATCTGTTCTATTTAAAGCGATGTCAATTGTCGATTATACTTCTACCCATGTCCTTTTTAGTCTACCGCTAGCTCTTCTAGCCCCTTCCTCTTTGTAACAAATCACTTCTTCTAACTAGAGTTGTTGGTGGTCTTCTATACTGGTGACCAAACCATCTTAGTTTACTCTCTCTCTCTCTCTCATTTTATCACCTATTGGAGTTAATCCTAAATGTCTACCTATGATTTCATTCTGATCCTTTCCTTGTTTGTGTCACACCCCTTGTTAAATTATGAAGACTTAAAATCATTTCTCACTATTTCAACCCATGGCCTTTTTGGTCTACCCTTGCCCCTCCTAGTCCCACCAACTTGTAACAGATCCCTTCTTCTTACAAATGTTGTGCTTGGTCTAATATGTCCTAATTATATTTTTCCATTTTAGTTGAGGTATTTGGGCAATGCCTGGTGTTTGGACTTCCTAGATGAGGCCTAGCCTAGAAATAAGAAAACCAAAGAACTTGAAACTTGATAAATTTGGATGATACTCTGAAGTGTCGGTGTTTATGCAAAAAAAAAGTACTAATGCACTTTGATATTTTATGTACACAGTAGTACAATAATGCACTTTATATGCATGTTCCTTTGGATAAGTGTAGTCCTCTTGGTCCTAATCATTTTTCTTTTTCTCTTCTCTCTTTATTTTTTGTACTCATATTTTTTTTCTTGGTTGCCAACATTGATCCACATTTTACCTCTCTCTGTAACATGCATATAGAACAGATTAATAGAATTTAATTTTTATTATAGAAAATGGTGTAGTGTAAAGTGTAAAAAAAAGTACATAAGACAAAACATACCTTGTGATCACCTTGATTGCCCATGGTCTTCTTGCTGGGTGTCACCCGGTTGTTTCCAGGCTGCCTTAGTCACATAGCCCACCAGGGGCCAAGGCAGTAATGGTACAAGACCCACTCGGTTCCTTGAATTTACTGATTTTCCTCCATACTTTATGAATATTGTCCCATGGGACAAGAAGAGGTCACCTTGTGAATTACTGAGAAAAAAGTTTCTACTGGGCTAAAGATTCATGGCTGTGAAACACTATATAAGCTGAAGTCATTGTGGAACCGATACTTATATGAATTTCTTTCCTTTTTAGTGAACCTTCTGAAGAGAAGAAAGTGTGTATTTGTCAGAATCCCCTACATTTATGCAAGGGGATATACTAATCGGCATAGAAACCTAGTATAATGGATAACTTTCTGTATTTACCAGAATTGCTTCTTGTAATGAGTTTGTAAATTTAAATCTCTAATTGGAAATTGACCAAATTTAAATGCATTATGTGTATTTAACCGGAGTTTAGCAATGCTATTTGAAATATTTACTGGGTATGATTACTTGAAATATTTCAAGCCCATGTTTGGACCTAATAGCAATTGTTTGGATCATTAATAGCTTTATAACTGCTTTTTGCTCCTTCACAGCCACTTCCTGAAACAGTTACACTTGTGGAGGACATTGTTGTTGAGTATGTAACAGATTTGGTAAACAACACTATTCTCTTTTTGCTTCCCTCCCATATTCTCTTTTTGAACAGCTTACAATCATATTCATTTGCAGCTATAACCTATCATCTTATGTTGTATGTTTTCTATAGGTTCATAAAGCCCAAGAAATTGCATCTAAGAGGGGGAAGCTTTTGACTGAGGACTTCCTATTTCTTATCCGAAAGGTATCTATTGTTAAACTTCTTTCACACCCTTCCTCCTAAATCTTTTCTTTTCTATAATATAGTGAGCTAGAGGGCTTCTTCATCAGACACGCGGTCATCTCTCCTTTCAGAAGAAAAGCATCTATTCTGAGAGAAATGTTATTAGGCATGTGCTTACCCCTCCACTCTCAAAAAAGCCAGGGGTAGTAGTTACCTCCACACTTCAAAAATACTTGCTTTCACATTGTGTAGATCCATATTAGTAATGGCACCACCTCTTTAATTGAACTTTATTAAAATAAAAATTCAAATGGCATGGGATCCAACTAATTGAAATTTCACTTGAGATCCATTCTTCCAGATAAACTGAGCTATTATTTAGAAATAAATCCAAATTTAATCTCTTAAATCGAATAAAAAATCTAAACTAAATTTACCAGATAATGGGTCCCAAACAAAATAAGTGAGAATAGTGGCCCCCTACTTTGTACAAGGTGATCACATTAACTGGTTTGTATTTGATGCTACAGGATTCGCCAAAACTCCACCGTTGTACAGAGCTACTGTCTATGAATGAGGAACTGAAACAAGCAAGGAAGGCTTTTGAAGTAGATGAAGAGAAGCTGGCAAGTGCAGACTGAAAGGGGAGAACCCAGAATGACTTCCTTTTCTCATTTTCGCAGAGTAATTGGATATGGCCACAATTCTTCAGTGTCATAAAGTAATGTGTCCGTGCAACTTCTTCACTTAACATCTGGAAATAGAATTTCGAAGCGCCACTTTTACATCCTTACAAAGAAATATCACCTAAAAAGATATATTGAAGAGGGAAAACTCGGTCTTTCAAAGTTTGGCAAGCAAACTCCATACCGGGTTCCTTTTGTTTCTATTGTTTTGGAAATTTTACTTCATTTTTCAAGTTTCAATCCTTCTTCCCATTCTTCCCATCAGGTAAAATGAAGTGCCACGCTCAGCCTCAAAGACAAATCTAACAGGAAAGAATACTGGGTTATATACTTTTTGCAAGCACACTCTATTCCGAGTTCTTTTTACAACTTCTTATTGCTTGTTGCAAAATGCAAGCCATATTTCCATTCTCTTTACTCATTATTCATTACTAATGTGACCACACCTTCTGAGATAACAGGTATCCCCATCAGCTTCCTCAGTTTCTACAGTAAACCTATTTCCATGGACGCATGCTATATCAACAAAAGCAAGCTTTCAATGTTACCCAATCGAGCTGCACCCCGGAGCTTTTCTCACACTGCTGTCTTTCATCAACACCCTTACCCTCTCAACTTCGTCCCAGTTTCCCATCTCAGCGTAAATGTTTGATAACAAGACATAATTACCTGAGTTATATGGCTCAACATTGATGAGCTCCTTAGCTGCAAATTCTGCAAGCTCTAGATCACCATGAATTCGACAAGCACTTAGCAGTGCACCCCATATAGTAGCGTTTGGCTTCATAGGCATGCTTCTGATCAAATCATTGGCCTCCTTAACAAACCCACTACGTCCAAGAAGATCAACCATGCATCCGTAGTGTTCGAGTTTGGGCTCAAGTTGGTGTTCTTTGATCATCGAATCAAATAACTCTTGACCCTTCTGCACCAATCCTGCATGAATACAGCATGCAAGGACCCCAATAAAACTTGAATGGTTAGGATCCATTCCTTGCCTCTTCATCTCCTCAAATAAATTGACTCCACTCACACCCTGCCCATTAAGAGCTAAACCCGATATCATGGCATTCCAAGAAACCACAGTTTTCCGAGGCATCTCATTAAAAACCTTACGAGCTGTTTCCAGATCCCCACACTTACAATAGAAATCAACAAGCGAGTTTCCTACAGAAACAACTTGTCGAGAAAGTCCTCTCGAATCAGCATAAGAATGGATCCATCTCCCTACATCAAAAGCTCCCAAACGAGCACAAACAGGCAATACCGTCACTAAAGTGGCATCGTCTGGCTTGAAACCCTCATCCCACATCTCGTGAAAAAGCTTCAGAGCATCAGTATCACGGCCACTCTTGGCCAAGCTGGAGATCATGGAATTCCAAGAAACAATGTTCCGTTGGTTCATTTGTCGGAAAACATCAAACCCAACTTCGACACGTCCCGCATTGCAGAACCCCCGGACCATCAAATTCCAAGCAATCACATCTTTATGAGGCATCGCATCAAACACCTGCCTAGCATCTTCCATCCTGCGGCAACTAGAGTACAATTCGACAAGCCCTATCTGAATGGAACTGTTGGATTCAAGGCCAACAGTGAGGATCCCAGCATGTATTCCCCGGCCAAGATTGAAATCAGAAAGAACCGAGCAGGACTTAAGCAAAGGGGCAAAGGTGAACTGGTCTGGCCATATTCCTCGGTTTTTCATGAGCGCGAATAGATGGATGGATTCTTTGGGGCATCCCGAGATCGAGTAGCCTTTGATCATGGAATTGAAGAGGAGGAGATTAGGGTTTAGGGCTTGGAGAAAGACGAGGCGAGCATAGGGCATTTTGTTGAGGGCGGCACAGACGGAGACAAAATGAGCAAGGATTTGGTTAGATTGGTGGAGGTTATGGCGGAGGAAGTGAGCATGGACCTGAGTCAGTTGTAAACGAGTAGTATGACCGTGGAGGAGGCGAAGAATTCGCCTTTCTGCCTCCCGGCAGCATCTGCTCATTTTCCGATTACCCTTACAGAGGTTGCCAACCGGATAACGGATTACCTAAATTTTGAAGTAGGGGTCACATCACATCACATGGCGCCAAGTTTGAGTAACGGTAATAACTTAAAAGGGAGAATGAGCGATCAGCCCAGGTTTAAAATTTGTAGGTTCAAAGTAATGTCGGGGTAGGTGTCGGTTCGGAATTGATGTCAGCATTGATACGTAGAGTGGGTTATGGTCCTTTTGAATGTTTATAGCTCTGCTGCGTAAATCAGAAATCTCTGCATTGGGCAAATCCTTACTTTTCCAAAACTTATGGATTGGACAATGTGAAGCGTGGCTGATGCGCTTTATCACTTCACAATCCACGGGGCAAAACTTAAGCTGCAAGCCTGCATTGCAAATTTGCAAATGGTTTTCAATGTTCCAATTCCATTTCGAATCTGACACCATCGAAGGCCAAGGGTGATTTGAATTTGTTTCTCCAATTATTTGTCTATTGTTCAAAAAGGATAAATACAGAGTATTCCTAGTTCCCACAAACAATGTGTATTATGGCTCACTCAAAATAAACCCATATACCTTAATATTGAGCATGGAGACTTTGGATGCCTTTGAAGTCTCTAAAATCACATAGATTTTTATATGGTATCAACCAGACCATATTAAACAGTATCACACCAACTTCATAAATCTTGATAGTTTATTGCGCCTTTTTTTTCTCAAAACAAGCCCCCTATACCTTAATAATTGTGAATAGAGGCTTCAAATGCCTTTAAATATCTCTAAAATCACATAGAGGAGAGGCTTCAAATTTTATTAACCAGACCGTGCTAAATAATATCACACCAATTCCATAATCCCTAATAGTTTGTTGTCTTTCTTGCCCAAAACAAGACCCTATACTCTAATAAATTATACATGAAGGCTTTAATTAACTTTGAAGATCTCTGAAATCCCATAGATTTTTTATATGATACTAATCAAACCGTATTAGCTTTTATTAAAATATATTTATACTTTATTTAGTATATTGCACAATGGAGAGATTTCAACTAATTGTGCAATATGGACTAAAATAGTTGGCCAAGCAACTATTTATGAAGTTTTATCCTGTTCAAAACCTTTTGCCCTAAAAGTCTAAAACCCATTCAAAAAATAAGTTTCACCCTATTCAAATCCTTTAACCCAAGAACCTAGAGAGAGAGAGAGAGAGAGAGTGATTGTATGTCTTCCATATGAAGAATAGAGAATACAGGATTTGCCCAAAACCTTCTTTTCTACCACTGTTCTTCAAGTCTTCTTCCACCGCTCACTCCAAATTCCATTTAGTTTTCTACACATTGAGATGCTCTCTTCATTGTTCAAAGTCTTCCTCCCTGAAACAAAGACAGAGGACTTGCCAAAAGATGTTTTTTTCAGTTTTTTTGTTGAAGAAAAAGGAAAGAAAATGAGTAACGGGAGTATTAACCCACCTCTTGTTATTTTTACACGTTTCCCCAAAAGAGCGACGTGTTACAATGCAGATGAAAGTTCAGCCAACATTGTAACAACAAAATGTGTAGCCCATTCGAACTCATTAGAGATATAGACCGTCGAACCAGTGACCTGTGACCCAGAGGCAAAGATGGTTTGGCCTTTAGGTCGGTTTTTAAAATAGTGGCTTAATGTATTTAATTAGTTTAGCTAACTTAGTAACCCAGTTTAATTAATTAAATTAATTTACTTATCTTATTTTACTTAATTAACAGTAAGTGTGAGCATTATTCAGTTAAAATCAAAAATTTCGGTTTTGGTTTTCAGTTTATGGTTAATTCCGTTCTTGAATATTTTGGTTTCGGTTTTTAGAGTTAGAAATTGATTAACTGAATTAACTGAACTTTTGTATATAATATATAATATAACAAAATTTGATTTCATATATTATAATATATTATATATTATTAAAATTCGATCTTAACCGAAAACTGAACCAGAATTTCAGATTCGATTATTTTGAGTTCTATATAATTCGGTTTCTGTTTGGTTTTTATTTTTTTAATCGATTTTTAAATTTTCAATTTATTCAGTTTGGTTTTTAATCGAATAAACCAAATTGTTCAGCCTAATTAACAGTAACTTAATTTACTCATTTAGCTTTGATTATTTAATTACTATATTTAGTTAGATTAATTTACTTGATTATCTTAATTAGTGTAATTTATTTAATTTAATAGATCTATTTACTTAGCTTAATTTACTTGATTGACTTAATCAATTAGTTAATTCACTCACTTGACTTAACTTACCTTTTTAGTTTAACTAGCTTAATTTCTTCAATTGTTCTATTTACTTAGCTTAATTTACTTAATTAATTATTTAATTCACTTAATTGCATGATTTTAAAATCATCATTAACCCAGCCCATTGAACCATTCAGCCGAAAAACCAATCACCTATCTACTTCCATTTTATAATTGGCCCAGAATTTTTCAAAAAAATGTTGACTTGGTCAACAATTCACTAGCACAAACAGCTGAACCACTAAACTATTCAACATGGTGAATGGTTTTGGGGTCATCTTTTATTTTTATTTTTCAAAACATCATGAGTTGATTGATTCAGCAAACAATTGAACCGGAAACCGGTGGCCAAAGCAATTCCTTTTTCATTTTGATTTTTAAAACATTACTTAATTGGCTTAATTTACTTTAGATCGATTGTCTTTGTTTATTTAATTTACTCAATTAGGTAAAAATGACCCTTTTAATTTTTTAAGACCTAAATGGCTTTTTTATTTTGCAAAGCTCAAGGATTATCAGAGACAAAAATTCAATGGCAAATATAATTGCTAGAAAGATTCAAATAAAAAAAATCTTTAGAACAAGGCAATGATTGTTTTGAATCAGATGGATCCATATCCAAATTTGATCCGTTACCTATAAAAAAGGACCGGTTAATATTCAACTTGAAATCGGCTTATCACTGGATTTATTTTGGATTCTTATCAGATTAGGATATTGCATAGTGTTAATAAATTAATTAAAAATGAAAATAGATGTTATATATTATAAGTAATAAACGAAAAACGACACTGTTATGTATCATTAATAAGGTCATAAAAAGATGGAGCCCAAAAAATTAATAAAGTGACAAAAATAAGATTAAAACCGATAACTATCTGGTAAACAAACAATATTCAAACCAACTCTACTAACACAAGTATAATAATTTTTTTCTATAGAATATATTTAAATATTGTCAGAGTCGGATGAAATCAAAATTAAAAATTGGATGGATGTGGATCCATATATGGTCCAATTATAAACGAATCGGATTAGGATCGTCCTTAATTGGAACATATTAAATAAAAATTCGAACAAACAGACTAATGTTAAAATCTTTTCAGCATTGAGCATTAAATAGGCTGTAAGCCTGTAAGTCTGTAACTAATGTTAATTTTCAAATCAGAATCTTGTCGACATCAAACCCTAATCCAGCAGTTATCAAAACATAATCAGAATAGTAAAGCACGCAATAAGGCCATTTTAATGCATTGATAATTAAACTGGAAAAATTCTACGATACCCGAAAGACATGGTACCGGAAGGGAAGAGGCCTTGATCAATCAAACACCCCGTGAATTTTGATGAATAATTGAATATACCTGATTGGTCATCTCTTCTATGATGTTCATCGATTGGCTTTTGCTGTATTTTGATTCTTCCTTGGTTCTTTTCTCCTCTTTGTCCTTTGTATGTATTTAATGCAATTTCGGTTAAAATTAGGTTTGGAAATGACAATGCCACCAACGACAAATATATGTAGCATCCACGCATGCATTCCTCTTGGGTTAATACCCAATGAGAATATGATCTAGTACTAAGCCAGAGATTAAACAGACTAAAACCACAAACAAAAGGCGGGTAGGATTGGAACTGTCAAGAACAACCACTTTGCAAGTATTACTTCTACAGCATTATCCATGTCAGCGTTCATTTTGGAGTCTAATAGGTCCACATATACAAACCTGCAAGAACTGCCTTCCGTGTTTCAAGAGAATAAAGACAATGTAAGTAGTACTCCAGAAAGGGAGACGTACGAAAAGAAAAACATTCAAACACCAGGCAAAGCCCATCAAATGCTTAATGGTCAATAAGCAACACAACAATATTAAAAGAAATATACATCTTAAACCTTCGTCGATGTTAATTGTTGATGGATCTGGCTGTTGCTTACAAGATATTATGTGATATCCCAGATATATACCAGAAGTTCCGGAATGGAGCTTGGGGCACAGCACAGCTACCCTCCTCAGGAGTGAGAGATGGTCCGGAAAATATGTCATTTTCAAATTTCAAGTTCCATTCTACTTTTTTGATGAACGGAAACCTCCAAACCCCATCATGGCGGCTACATCAGTGTCTACTTCCTCAGTTTCTTCTATTGCCTTCTCTTTCTGGTCCAAGATGTAAAACAGCAATGAACCATTTCAATATAATAATTATGCAATAGTATGAGAAAATGAGACAAACTACCATAAATTACAGAGCATTAGACTCGGTGTAACCATGCATAGGGGAGGAAATAAGCTAATACACAAGACATTGTAGGATATGGTAGGTAATGGCACAATGCTGGGGTAGCAATTTCATCCTAGAGAACCTTTCCTATAATAGTCGTGTCAAAAGTTGTGGGCCTATCCAATCCATCCATCAGATAAGAGTTATCCTGATTGCCCACCACATATTTAATTTCTAGTCCACCTCATGGTCCCTAGTTCCATAACCAACCAACATGCAGGACCTTTCCCTTGGTAGTTCAAACAATGAATAATTCAATCCATGTGTAGAAGACTATTGATATCACCCATAAGAAGAAATCTGTTGCAAGGTGAAGGGCTAGAAGGGCTAGGGGTAGACCAAAAAGAACATGGGTCAAATTAGAATGAAATGATTTACGCATTCATAATTTAAAATGGATATGACTAAAACAGAATAGCAAACAGGATTCATGTAGCCATCCCATATAGTTGGGATAAGGTTTGGATGACAATAATGGCAAATTATCCATCCATATGTAGAATTCCTAGTTTGTTTAAATCCCTTCTCTAGACAATTGGTTCAGCAAAACTGTCCCTCTTTGTGTGCATGCACGTGTGCTTGAATGCACATGTGATTACCATTGTGTTTTCTCTTGTTTTTCTTTCCCCACTTGCTTTCCTCACCTTATATGGTGTAAGCAAATAACTATAAAGAAATCTATTGAGAATTGCTTACCTTCTTCTCTTTCTTCCTTTCTCGGCGTTGGCGCTTCCTTTCCTCTTCTTCCTGTTGTTGTTTCAAGATCCGATCATCTAGATCTGGAAATCAGAATATATTTATCATCAGTATTCCCTCTGTTCATTTCCATCAGTAAAATAGATTTGAACCAAGATTCTGAGGTAACAAAGAAAATACAAGGCATTGTCATAGAAGGAAAAAGATGGAAATACACTTTGGGTTTTCAAGATTAGTAGCTTAGTCGAGAGGCAATTGAACATTATTAGAAATAAATTGAGAACATCTGAAGTCCTACCTTGCTCTGTGAAGCTGCCTGAAGCTTTTCGCTTTTTAAGAACTTCAAATCGTTCCTGAACCTGTGTAAAATAAAAAAGGTATTCAATATGATATAATTTAGAGAATGTCTCACACATTCTCAAAGATACATGCAATACTTCAGACCCAATGGCATTGGAGTCTCAAATTCTGATGACCTTGGCCTGTGTCTTAGGATTCTCAGTGGTCGTCTTCTGGCACAACCTTTTTATCTTGTTAGGAGTTAGGACAGTTTCTTTTGGGGCCATATAGAAGATTGCTGTGGCCATGGCAAACCATCCATCTGGTTGGAATCTGGCCACATGGATGGGGTTTCTTCTCCATGTCAAGCCATGATTGGCCTCCTCACATGAACACCAACCACTGAATACTAGAATTATGTACACAAAGGAGAGAACAGAAAACAGGACTCTCGTAACCATGTGGCAAATATCTCATTATCTGAAACTTGGCTGGTGAAGAGGGGTAAGATGTCTGAACATATAGGAACCTTGCCAGCTTGCCCATCTAATCTCAGTCATAAAATGCACAAGAAAATTACCTCTGAAATGCAACCATGCTTTATGGCTTAAGAAAGCAGGCCAGGTTACAGAACCTCTATTATTTAAGACACTTTTGGTGTTCTAGACGTACAGATTGCTTATTTTTTTATCCAATTGATCTCTTTTTATAACATTTTGTACTTCAAGAAAGAATCTGAAGCTCCTTTTCTAGGGGTCATTGCTCAGTGCAATGGTTGGGTTGACAAGCATGAAAAAACAGATTTGTGTCTAGAGCAGCCCATTCATGCAGAAAATGCCAGAGCACCAACTAAGGTCAACCTTATTTGGTGATGACAGGGGGATTGGTGCTTGCAACCTTAAGATATGTCCTAGACCAAACAATTGACCCTAATCCCCTCATTATCAATGTTCACAACCATGTGTGGTCAACCAATAAATATGTGAACCAGAATAACCAGTCCTCTGGTTGGCTGGTTAGCTTGGCAATTGCATTTGCGTACAAACCAGACAGGTCCTCACAAACTAGTTGGTTTCATATTGGCAAGGTAGGCCAACAGACCCGTCCATTCTTAATTCAAAAGAATCAAAACCTTTGATACATCAGGTTAACTGGGGCTAACATCATCACTGGCCCAAGCCAGCAAACATATCCTACTCCCTTGAACTAGCCCATGAGTCCAGATTCCCTACCACATGAATACCATGTGCACAACAGATATAGGAGAAAGCAGCTTCTCCAAAGCAAGGTGCCAACCAGCGGGGTGGTAAGGTCTCTCGCTGGTCCTAGCGGAGACTTGGGATCAAATCCCGCCTGCACCTCGGTTTGGGGGGTTATGGGTTGGGGATGGGCTACCCCCGTTGTGTAGCCCTTCAAAAGAAATTTAAAAAAAAAAAGAAAAAGAAAAAAAGAAAAGCAGCTTCTCCAAACCTTAATTCTTGATTTTTCCAAGACTTCGCGTTGGAGGTTTTTACCAGTTTTCCATATCTACATGACTCATGTTACCTGTTTAAGAGATGCTCGTTCCACCCGCATAGACATACCCAAAGCTCTTTGATCTAAAAGGTGCCAATTAAACCATGAGAAACAGGAAGAGAAACGCTAATTAATAGAGAAAAAAGTAGATGCAGTAAGCCAGCATGCAAGTTGGCATACGTTTCTTCCCATTAATATGGTCCAAGTAGTTTGCAGAATCCTTTACTACACATTCACAAACTGCACAATAGTACCCAGCCTGCAAAAGAAGTGATTCCAACAATCAACAATGATAAAAGAAAATGCGGGTCGGAGGAGATGAGTGTGGGAATTAACACACACACCCATAAAATTTTAATTCCTAATTTATTATTTACTTCAAAAATACTACTTTAAATAATAAACAACAAAAAATATAGCACTAACTCAAGGGTAGTACAGAGCCTGAAAGAACAATGATTGATCTCAAGAGTGTAGACATATCAGTCAAATTAAGTAACATTTGCCTAAATATTCTAGCCCAAATCTTTGGCACAAACCCAGAAGAACTTTACAACAGACAAGCAAATAAATCACTGCTTTTAAGGCATTGACAGCAACAGTAAAACCCAGTAAATGAAGAAAATAATCTTTTAACCTCAAATCCACAAGTTCTCCCACTCAAAGGCTTATTATTGAACATCAATTGTACCCTTCACCATTTAAGGAAACAAAGAATACCAACATTTTTTTTATAATTAAGAACACCAACATTATTCCTGTCCACTGCTAACTCACACAGAATAAAAAATAAAAGTGAATGGATATCTAATAAAGAACATCAAAGAATAAATAGCCCATCACAATTACTATTACCATCGTTTAATTTATTTAACACAAAAAAAAAAAAACTGACAGATCATGAATATTCTAATTCTCAGTTTCCATATAGTTATAATAACCGGTTTTCAACTTAAAAGTTAAAATTAAGCATATGCTGCATTATGAACCAAAGAATGGGTAAATGCACCTTTCCTGCAAGGTTCCACCTATTCATGAAAATCATCCCAAGTGCCACTAAGATTTTAAGTGGCTCTTTACATTTAATCAATCACTCATTAACCTTAAAAACTCACCAAACCCACAAGAAAACCAGCCCAGCATTAGGGGTGCAACTTGGGGCACCTGCTTTAAAGATTTTACACTGCATCAGGCCCAAGACCTCAGGCCATGCCCTTTCAAAATTTAATAAATGCTCAAACCTGACCCACCCCAAGTTGCACTCCTGCCCAGCATGCCAGTAAGGAAAAACTGCAAATTGGCCACCATATCAGCATAGAGATTGGGCAATGAACAAAGATACAAAGGGAAACCAGTGATCGAAGGAGGAGTACGAGTTATGGTGTTAGAGCAGGGGACATCAGAAACAGAAAGATAATAGGTTGACAATTCCGCCAGCTCGTTAATAACTTAATATGTTTAGTTCATGGGCAAGAAGGAAACTTATTTAGTTATCCTTTGCTTCATGGATAACACATAGTCTTGTTGATTTCCCTTCTCAAACATTTTGTGTAGGAGTTAACAAGCCGCAACGTCAATGGGTTGGATTTAGAATGGGCCCATCTTGACCTGAACCCAACCCAAAAGCCAAAACCCAATTAGGACTGACCCAACCTAACCCAATAGGGTCAGGTAAGTGCAGCTTTGACACTTAATGTGACCCACTGACATTCCTACTTCCAAAGAATACATTTATAGGCACTTGGAATACTTTTGTAAGCTTTTTATGCTAAGAGACTAGGAAGTTACTTTGATTTTTTTGAATGATTTTTTTGAATGTATAAGGCATTACGATAATCTTGCATAATGTAATGGCATGACTCTTTTGTGGTACGCTGACCATTATTACTCTAGTTGGTTTTAAGAAATTTCATTTACTGATCCTTCTAGGCCAGGAATGGCAATGGGGCAGGGTGGGGCCAGTTTTTGCATATCCCGATCCTGACCCCGGACACATGTACCCCACCCTATACCCTGACAAGGCTGGAAATTAAAGCCCAATCCCCATTCCGGATCCCCAAATTTGCCCCGCCCCGCCTCAGCCATTCCTAGCCATGGTCTCATTCATTAATTTTGGGTTGGCTTTCTCCTACTTTTTTTTATAAGTCTCAATATTGAAATTTGACCAAGTTGTTTATCAAGTAACTTTTTTTTTTTTGGTTTAATTTGGGCAGGGCCAGGGTCAGGGTTGGGCTCAGGGTAGGATGGACAAATACCATCCCCGCCCCATCCCCCATCACCTGAATTTCGGGTTTACCCAAAACCCACCCTGACCCTGGTCAACAGTTGTAAAAACCACCCCAACAAGGGCAGGGTCAGTGGAGCCCCAGAAGGGGTGGGTCAAATTTCTATCCCTATTCTAAGTATAATTATTGTGTTTATTGTTGCTAGAGGTAGCTTCTTTTTTAATTTTTGCTACTTTTGTACTATTTCTATTCCCAAAGAAAAAGGCTTTACAACATGAAAATGTTCAATTAATTTATTGCTACTATTCTAAAATTTAAAAATGAATCCATTGCAATATCTACCCCCCTCGAATACAACTAATACCATTCAAAAATCAAAAACTCAAATATATGAACTTCAAATTTTTCTTCAAGGGAATCCTCAAACTCGAATAAAAAAGCCATGGCAAATGCAAAAACAAGTAGAAAGCAGAAAATCATCTCAAAACTAAGATAGCAAAAAACCACCTCTGGCATATAAGCTTACAGAGATGATGACTACATTTGAAACATTTCATTTCTACTGATTTCAAAAGTATATTCATCAATTATACCAGAAAAGGCATTATAATAATGACTATCAATGAACCAACAAGAATCCAATACGATAATATTTCTCTCACAAAGAGCAATTGCTGAGAAAGTACCTGCTGGCTTAGAGGTGCTATTGGAGTAACAACCTGTAGAAAAAAATATCATGCATCATAAACCAGAAGTAGAAACTTGATCCCAGGTTAGCTAAATTTCTTTGAAGTACATCAAATTCAGATCAGGGAAAAAGGAATTCAAACTTCAAATATTAGAAAAAAGTGATAAAAGTTTAAAAACCAGAAGAAGAAGAACGGAACTAAGCAATTTAATTGACAAATGGCTTTTCTTTTTTTGAAAAAGATAAGGTAAATATTATTAAAGAGAACCAGAAAACAGAATACAATCGGCCCCTCAACATAAATGACAAGTGGCTTTCAAATTTCAAATCTTAAACCATTTGCTTACACAAAAACCGCTTCTAATAATGAAATTGTTATTCTCATGATCATGACCATCAAGGTTTCAACAATTGGAAGACAATAAAATGGTTAAAATAAGGCATGAAAAAAATGTAAAGATTAGGTCATTAAGAAAGTCAAAAGAATGTCGCCTACCTGAGTTTTTCCCAGACGAGATTCAAGGTCTACTTCATAGTCCCTGTGCTTTAAGGGTTTCCTTTGCACTGGAGGTGCTTTAGCTGCACATGTATCAAAGATGTTAGGAACTCCAAAACCCTAAAAAAAGCATTTACAGCACCG